TTTTTCAAAACGGTATATTTCATCAAAAAAGTAGCTCCGACAAAAATTATAGATCTCAAAATTATCGCGATATCTCAGGAATGGTGATTCTTAAAAAAAAATTATAAGGACCATTTTTGTAGATAATTTTAAGATCTATAATTTTTGTCAGGACTACTTTTTTGATGAAACATCGTTTTCCAAAAAAATCCAATAAGCCTTAAATTTTGACCTTTGACCCCGAATAACATTTTTAGCACACATGAGATCGATGGGGACTTTTGACACTTTATTTCTAATGGTGTACCCAAGGTCTCCACCAAAATTTAGCTCAAGTCAGAATTTTCGTTATTTGAAATGTCTATTTAGACCGGGCTATTAAACAGAATTAATACATGTTTTTTCTGTTTACGGACAAAAGCCTATACCTAGGTCTCAACTGGACTGCTCTGTACACGAAAAAGTTTTTGTTGAATCGCCAATAGACGTCTGTCCCAAAATATTTTCTTTTTTCATCAGTAATAATTAGTCTACATCATAATTGATATTGACAGTTACTCATATTTCTATTTTAACAGACAGAAATGTCGGGAACTACTTTTTAAACTTGTTGTTGATATACGAAGAAAAAAAGTAGCTTGACAAGTAAGATGTAACTAACGCCATCTACCAATTACCATAAAATGAACTATTTCTTTTTAATTTTCGATCGATACATTACTTCTGAAGTGTTTAACTTGATTGGTAAAAACGGTTCTCAATATATCGCCAATATTAAAAGATATTAAATTTAATTTTAACATCCTGTAGATTGAAAACGGCAACATTTGATCAAAACGTTCGCAGATGGGCTAAATTTGTGATGAGTTTCTACATGAGCACCCTAAAGAAACTTTCTTTTAACGTATGATTAAAATCTAGCAGAAGCCTTTGGGTATGTTCTATATTTAGGTACAAAAAGCTTAAAAAAAATAAATAAAAAGTTACTGCATTAGTAGCGCTGCTGTTTTCCTTTGAGAGAATCAACTACTGCATATGCAGTATTACATGCAGTGGCGTGGTGATTTCCGTTATTACACTTACTAGTACTCGTATGGAAAGTGTGATTGTGAAAAATCACGTAATCTTAAAACAATTCTTATATTTGTTAAAAAATATATGTAAGTTTCATATTCATTGACGTTTATTCCAGCAAAAAATTCCAGAAAAAATATTTTAAGTGTTTTTTTCAGTTTTCTTCAATTTTTAATTTCAGAAAATAATGAAATATTTCCTACTCTTTTCGAACTGTTACATCAATCTTACTCCAAAGCCGATTGAACCAAACTTTGCTGTAAAAGGTAAAAGTGCCGAAAAACACGAAGTCCTTTTACATTGTTCCATATGGCTGTCCACCGATGGAGTGCAGGCAATATTATCCCTCCACATCTTCCGTATATATTCCACATAATTTATAGCCCTTGATTTAAATTATTCCGGTCACATTTTCCACAGAGTGGCAGAACTAAGAGGTTGAGTACCGCTTTAAATCATGGGGGGTAAAAATGATTTTATTATTGTATGGAGCTGGAATCCGCATTATACGGCTAGAACAATCCTTGCACTGCCTGCCTACATAATTCAAAAGCATGCCTCGAAACTTCAAAGGGAAGTTTTTACGTCTGAAACAAAAAATATTCCGATTTCAGTGATGAATTCTTTTACCTATTTGACCAAATATATGATGTGAGGCCGGTAGAAATATCCTTCTCAATCACAAAAATGGATTCCAACAAAAATATTTTATTAATATTATTAATAGGAATTTCAGACTTGATTAAAACTTTTTGTTGTGAGTAAAATTGTATAAACAATATATTAACAAAGTATAATCACATATAAGTGTTGCTTTCATTCTCACAACATCAACGATATCTCTACTATGAAATATGTGGGTTTTAATTTGTTTCTAATGGTTGAATATCCACTAATATGGTTTCGCCAGAGGGTAAGAGAGATCACATTGTGTATGGTTACCCAAATTGTTCCTATTAAGACAACAGAGAATTTTTAACTGTTTAATACTTCATGACTTAACCAATTTTCAGTTTAAAGACAAAATTCTACTAGAATATTATTACCTTCGCCTCTAAAATCATGTCCAATAAGCAAACGTTTGGACAGTTAACTAAAGCTAACTAATCTAATATAATAAAGGCGAATTCTTTACTCAGGGAATACCCTTTTATAAATTGTACCTAGACCATAAAACTTAGAAATAGTTATTTATGTATTAAGCCGGTTATGTTATTCCCGAGTTTTATGATGGCAAGCTTGGGTTTGGAGGGACTTACGGGTCCTACTCAACGTTGCAGTGGTCAAAGGATAAATAGAATTTACCTTAAAATTACTTTATAAGGGAATCCCTACAATATAACGAATTTGATTGGTTCATTTAAGAATAATTTTAACCTGACGAGTGAAGAGAAGTACAGAGAGATGTACTGAGAGCAGTTCTTCTTGAGCATTCGGTTGACTGTGGATCCGTTATAGGGCCTCTGGTTGTTGTCATAAAACACCTCGAGTACTTTATTTGTAACGTTTTATTTTAAATCATTTTCATTTACGGTATTACTTATTATTTCGTGAAGATGAGTGACACGAGTAGTGATATTAACGCCCAAGTTATTATATTATTCAATTTTACTGCAATAAAAGTACCTAATACATTTTTGTATAATTTTATCAAAATACTTTTTATACAGGATTACAATTGTGATATTTTTTTGCACAAAATGGGGGACCAAAAGAATATAAAAGGCATTTTACTGTGCTCATCAGGGGTGAAGAAGAAGTAAAATAACTAATAGCACAGTACTGGACATAAACTTGCGCTAACAGGAGCAATTTTCCCGGCTTATGAATTTAAGGGCACGTTAGCCGTTAGCGAATGATAAATGCTTGCAATTGTTTAGTTACAATTAGCAGAAGTAAATAGAATAACGCGTGCTTTAGATAATACCTTCCCATTCCCTGGGTCCTGAAAACCGTAACGGCAGATATTCTACAAATTCCATAAAACGCACGCCTCTGGTCTTAAGTATAGTTGGAATTTTATCGCCAACAACGGCTTCACTATTGTTGAGTTGCCTGACGTAGGCAGGACGCCAGGTAAAAGTACAACCATCTGTCGGTTTAAGAGAAGGGCGATGAACCTGACCGCCACTGGTCGCAAAATTAATTTGGTTTAAAGGAGAGAAGTCTGTCTAATCTAGGAACAACTTGTTAGTACCATCATAAACCATCAGGTAGAAATCTCGATAACATTTTTTATTCATTAAATTTTTGAGGTTAGGTTTTTTTAGTGGAAAGGAATGGGCTATACTTCAAGGGTAATTTCCTTATATGAATAAATTGATTCATATCAAGTTACCTTAGTATAATTTGGCTTCAAGTTCAAGGAAATGAAGAAAATAGAACCTTAAGTTTTTAAGGAAGCTAAATTGTACTAAGAACCTAACCTGAAAAGTTATATTACTGAAGAAGATAGCAGCTAACAATCTCTGGCATATGGTCTAACGGTGACATATTTAGCATATTTATTAAAATCTTATCTGTAACAAATTTCAATGCAATTTGTTGTTTTTTTTTTTTTTGGAAAAGATGTAGATAAAATTTGGTGTAAAAACATCTTTGACGCCCTGTATATCAATAACAAAAATTGATAGTCTCATAGACCGTAAGAAAAAATCATCTTATTTTTGATATTATATCATCCCTTAAATTACTTGCATTAATTTCCATAACATCCTGTATGTATTTAAACAAAATTTGTTGTTTCCTATTTTACATATTATATTCAGTTTTACAATTCATATAACGTATACAGTAAATTACTTTTTCAACAAATTCTTACTTTGTTAAATGAATTAAAACAAAATGTATGTATGTATTAAAATTTAAGTGTAAACGTAGGTTATAATTATAGAGATTCTGCACTTTATTGATCTGCGCCACCGATAAAATTATTTTCCTATGAATTATTTATAGTCCATATTATCTTTACTTAAGGATTTCTTCCATTTTATCCTTCCTTTTCCCTTCCTTTTCCCTTCCTTTCCTTTTTTATTCTTTGCCACCTAGTACCCTATTCAGTAGCAGATAAAGCGTTTTTCAACCATTTTCTTTATTAGCACTACTTCTAATATACTATCATTTCTGAATTGGAAAGTGTGTTACATTTTGTTGCCCTAAACTAAATCTAAACTATTATCACGTGAAAAAATACACCACAGCCGGTGAAAGAAAATGTTGTGTTTAATATCAATTTTTAAAGTCGAATAAAAATTTTTATAAGTTATGAGCGAAGTTGCTTGTAGAGGTCTTTTAATATCTCATGAGCCGCGAAATGCGCGAAAGTCGTGGCGTATCCCCATAATTCTTCTAATAAGCACGTTGTGAAAACATTGACTCAGAACTAGACCATGTGCATTATTACAAGTAGACATGAACTAAGGCGCTCGGGCATCAATAAAGTCAACTGGCGAACGTTCGTTATATATATTTTTATTGTTTAAATTAAAATAATAAAGAATAGGGCATTTTATTATGATATTTGTAATCGGATCAAAGGCTTGTTTACGCTAGAGCTCGAGAGAGACTGTGAATAATAGGTGTAATGTTTTTAGGACGTAGAATAATTTAGGCGACGGTCGGAATTATGTTTCTGCGCATATGAAGGTCAAAGCTCATAAGATTTTAAAACATCTCTACAATTCACATTAATTGCAATAGTAGATTAGTATTCAGCGACAAAACGTGAAACATTTTTTTATGTAAATATGTACCCTGTTGTCTCTTGCTATTACGCTCTAAATACAAACAACCTTTGGTGGAACACCTCTCCAGCTAGCTACACATTATGGTTTTATTTGTTATCACCAATCGCTTCTGCGCACACCAATCCTATACACGTTGTTTACCTGTGCACCCAAATTCGTCAACTACTCTGCAAACTAAATTGCGGACGAATTTATGTGAAAATACATCGATCAGATGATAAAGTAGTACATACACAGTTACGCAAAAGTAAAAATGGCGTACGACTAAGTGAAAACAGTGAGAGTAACGCGTAAAGGCTAACAGCGGCGTTTGCGGAGTTTTCATCGCGGACTGCAGATCAAATTTGTGTCCAAGAAGACGGCGGCCTACGGCGTGGCTCGCATTAAACCCAGTATTTGTGAGTAATCGTGCCTTGGACGAACGAAGACGAAGCAAAGTGAACGCATTTTCGCTTAGTCTCTAGTCGCTCCACTCCAGTGCAAGCGTGAGGAATGCCAGACAACAGTTAGATTCGGTCTCCTGATTTTTCGAGTGTACAAACCAGTGAGTAACCGTACGGGGTGTTCCCAATTTGTGCTGTGTTTTGTGCCATAAGTCTCTTATCTAACCACCTAGTGCAATATTTACTACCCATGTGATACGATGTGATGTGTTACGTTTCTTTTAACGGAGTAACTGGAGCTCAATTCAATATAATCGCCGTGTGGATTATGCAGAGAGGTAAGGTTTTTTCGTAGGCACCTATTCTAATACGCTCTCAGTCTCCCTTGTCTGTGTTATGCTTTGTGGAAGCCGTTTGATGTCTTCTGCACCTTTAAGAAACGCGAAATGCAGTTAGCGATGGAGCCGCATTTTTACTTTGCCTCTTCTTGCTTTTTATTTTGCCCGGTTTTATTCGTTTTGTCTGTGCAAGTGGCATGCGACCGCTTTTTCAACTTGAAGTTGCACTAAAAACATTAGTGTTGCTTTGCTTTTTTAGTGAACTCTCTAAAAACGTATTTAAATATCTAAAAGATAAGTCTATTGAACAGATAACTTGGAATAACTAATTGACGACATAATGGCAATTCTTAGAAACAAATGAATAACGTTACCTCGATAGATATGATTTATTTAATAACAATTTTTATCGAATTAATCAAACGTGGCTTGGTAGGTGGTAGAAGTTCAATTATTAATATAGAGGTTTAGTTTGTGTTCAAAAATTTACACCTAAAATTTATATACAGAATTACACACAATATTTAACCATTCGCACACATGTGCAAGTGTCGGTACAAAATATTAAATAATAATAATACGCGGGGTATTTTTTTGTAAAAAAAGTGTTTTTTCTCATATTTTCGAAACTGGTTGACCAAATCAAATCAAATTGTCTAAAGGGTAGTACCTAATAAATCCACACGATTTGAATATGGTGGTGATAAATGAGAAAATTTAGGGGTGGTGTTCAGGAGCGTCGTCATCTGTTTATGTGCAGTGGTTCTGAGCCACTGGAATGTTCTCAAAAATAGAAGCATTTTATGGTTTAGCATTTATGAATGATTTGCTAATATCTCCAGAAAAATAATATTTTTTAAATTTTACAAAAATACTAGTTACTTCTTTTTTGTGTGCTCTTATAATGAGGATGTATAAAGATTATAGTTCTGTTGTAGGTATTTCTTAAGGAAAGAAACTACTCTAACAAAAAAACGTACCTATATCATTTTATAATAACAACATAAAATTGCAAATTTTGCGACCTAGCATAATCATACCAATGCGAAACCACTTAATATTGAAATAAAAACAATTCATATATATGGAAATTTCCAACATATATGTCGTAATAAGGCAACCTGTTCATTTGTGTTGGAAAATTATTGGTCTCTAAGCATTTTCGTCGAACAAACTCAGCGTCTCATTTTTATTACTCAGTAAATAAATCAATTACGTTCAGTATAATTCAAAGGTCATTAACACGAGAGTACATACATGTACTAAACTGAGACTCGACGTATTCAAAGCATGCATTATCCTATTAAAATGGTCCAGTATGGATCTCAGGACGGAGTTGTTAATAATTTTTGTACATACAAAGGATCACATCAATTAAGCAGTGTTACAATTCATAGAGAAATAAAAGATTATTTAAATTTAAAGCTTTCTAACGTTGTTAGCAGTCTCTGAATATTTTATGACAAAACTGTATTTGAAAATGTTTTGAAAATTTAAATTTAGTACAACAGCATCGAATATGATTTTATTTTCTGTAGTTCATTTAACTCACTGATACACTAAATGATCCAATTTTTATATCGCTTTTCACATTTTGCACAATGCCATTAATGGTCTGTTCGTAAAATATCAAAGGATAACTGTTATTACGCTTTTATCATATTAAACTCGGGAAAATTTAATGAAATGTCAATAAGGTTTACCGACATGCGGTGTGTATATTATCACTTGACACCAGCCCCTGATTGGACAAATAGGTTAGTAGATATGTGTAACCACCATTTGTTCAAACGGAGTAGAAATTCATATTTCTAAATTTGTAACTATCAAATTTTATATAAACTGATTTTAATTAGCGGTATATAAAAAATATAGATATAATAAAAAGACCCTTTGGTAAATCGCAATTAAAAAAGAATACCCTGTATATACAGCCATGTTTTCAAAACGGCGTTTCAATATAGCGTTTTGTTTAATTATTATCGACTTCCAAGCATCGTTAAATATGTAAATACCAATTAAATTTAATTAAAATCTACATATTTTATTTATCGTGATAGCGGTAACCTCGATACCAGCTTTTGTGTAAGTATTTAAAAAACTCCATAATACAAGTTTATCATAAATTATAAAATTGTCAATAAATATACGCTGTTGTTTCACAGGCCTGAATTTTTGTACGAAGCTTTAACAATACCTAATTAAAAAGCTACTTTTCATTGTAATATGAAAAGTGAAAATAACTATTATCCTCGCTATTATCTACTTAATATCGTAATGTACACAGGAAATTAATATATTTAATTGAAAAATGTTGGAATTAATAAAGATAATATAAATAGATAGCAGCGACGTCAACATTTCCAGTGCTTTTAAATTAATTTCTGTTTTAATTAACAGTGACAAAATAACATCAATGGCAATCATGGTGGATCCATTCATTGTTAATGGAAGAGCGTAAAATACGTACAACAAAGGAGAGTGACCTTAGCATTTTCCAAATATCTAACAGCAGTATTGTTCTAACTTTAACTGATTATGGAGACTGCTTTCAACTTTAGTCAGATACATCAATGCTTTGTCTAAAGAATAATGCTGCAATGCTTGTTGACTCACATTCTGTTCAAATAAAGCGTAAGAGAAAAGGTATTTAGCTCTAACTTGAACGCTATCATTCCGGAAAATATGCTTGCATGTTCGTATGTCAAGTCCTTATCTGTGTGCACTTATTCTATTTTACCCTATTTTTAAATGTCTAAAAGACGTGTAGGCATAATGCTGAAGAGTAAGCTGACAAATACTAAAAATTTACCTACTTTTAACTTGAATATGTACCCCTGCACTTGTTTGTCTATTTTTTAAATTATTATTTATTCACTGTTTTTTAAGATTCATTCATTTCAATTTGAGTGGCTAAGACAAGAAAAATGGTCCGAATATCGCTGAAGACGATTGTGTAGGATGATGAAACTTATGTTAAAGATTTATCGGGGTCTATGCCACTGCCAGCTTTAACAAAATGCATAATTTATAATGCTTATAAAAAAGTAACAACTCGAAAATCATTTTTTAGCTACAAATTATCAAAATATTTCATGCCGTCATAGGTACCGGACCTTTAAATATATAATTTGTTAACCCCAATCTATCTACGTCAAACTTCTTGAAAGATAAGTATTTTACAAAATATGGATTTTTTTTAACTTCTACCTGCTTATATCTTGAAAACGAAGCATTTTCGAACATTCCTTGGCAGTGCATTTTTGCTTATTTTGATCATCTGCATTCAAACGTTAAATGTTGAAATTTGAAACAAATTTTGATATACAGTGCGTTTATGATGAAATACAGTGCGTTTATGATGATTCGTTTAAAATTCAGGTAATTATTTTGGAGAAAAAACGTCGCTCAGACACGCCGATTAATATTTTTAGTTGCAGATTTTTTTATGAGAAAATTACATACACCTTGTATATTATGCCATTTTTGAATTGTACTATAAATTCTGGACACTTTTGTACAACATACCATATGTCTAAAATCAATGGTTTTCGTAATAATGACGTTTGAAATATGATAAATGGAGAAAAAGGTTTAATCATAAAACATTATTTAAATAACAATAGCTTTATAATAAATGTTCAATGTTTTGTCCCTTTACTTCAATACATTTTTGTAGTCGAAGGATTGTTTCCCGTTGAACGTTTTCAATTACCTCTACTGAAATAAGTCTTATTTTCTGGCGTATTCTCTGTTTAAAGTCATTATTTGGTCTATTCACATAAACTTTAGATTTCAAATAACCCCATAAAAAGAAATCTAAAGGGGTTAAATCTGGTGACCTTGATGGCCACTCAATAGGACCTCCTTGTCCAATCCAATTTTATTAGAGAAAATTAAGTCAAGAAATTGTCGAACAGCAATTGCAAAATGAAGATTGTTGGAACCACATGTCATTATGAGGAATATCTGGATCTTGTGGATTAGGAAACACAAAGCTAAAGCGGGGATGAGTTCAAACTAAAGTAAGCGTAAGTAGCGTTCTCCATTCGAATTTTCTTCAAAAAATAAGATCCAAGAATTCGGTATTCGACAATACCTGCCCAAACATTTAATTTTTGCTGATCCTGTGAGTGACAGACCTGTGTCCAACAAAAATTTTCAGTTGCCCAGTATCTGCAGGTTTGTCTGTTTACGTGACCGCTGATTTTAGAGATATGGTATGTTGTACAAAAAGTACAATTCAAAAATGGCATAATATACAGGGTGTTCCATTAAAAAATCAATCATAACTGCTTATGTTCATATTGAGACACCCTGTATACCTACAATTTTCTTATGTCAAAGGATCCTCAACTAAAAACACTAATCGACGTATCCGAGCGTTTTTCCACAAAATAATTACCTCAATTTTAAACGTATTTTTCCTTTCATCATGAACGGACTGTATTTTTAAAATTTTTGACGTAAAATACCGTGTGATTACTCCTCTAGATACTTTCTGAGAAAATTCAATATCTAATAACTCTACCAGTAAATATTTGTTTAATTAGTTTTTATTTTTGTAACCTAATAATTTTGCTCCTTTATTTAAATTATTTTTTTTTTATTTTTCGGTTTTGCATCAAATTTAACTCTTTCGCTTTGGCGGTTCCTGCAAAAACCAAGCAAATTCCGAGGCGAATTCATTCAGAAGGCACGCGAAAGCCGGAGGTTGCTCATGTTTGCTTAGCTCTTGCCTGTGCAGAGGGCGGTTTCGGAGCCGATGTGGAACAAAATTAATGTTTGGAATAAATCCACAGAAGGCGTAGTGCATAATGCCCGCAAAAAACATTATATGCATGTAATTAAGTTCTAGTTTTAATTAAAGTCTGGAAACGGAGAAACTTGCGTCTGTCAGCGTCCGACCAGATTTTTTGCTCTCATATTTATGCAAACTGCTCAACTTGTTTGTACAAAATGGAGTTCTGAAGTTACAACAAAATGTTAGAATGCATTCA